GGAACTCTATAGGTCCGAAACTGAACTCTATGGGGGATATATTCCTATAGGATTCTTATATATTCCTAAAGGAATATATAGGAATCCTATAAGACATTTTCGTAAGGGTTTCGAAATTGACTTTTATAAAAAGAGCAGCATTTTCAATTCAAAATCGGAACACATTCACTGCATAGGTACTATAGTTTCCTGGGTATGGACCTTATCGGGGTCCAGGATCTATCATAACCTGGATGTTTTGCAAGCGCCGCACTCTTGAAAAGGCTAGATACAACTGTCCATGGTAAAATACGGGTTCAGGAAGGTACAATCGAATTCGTTTGAAATGTTTGCCCTATAGCACCAGATGATAATCATGGCAAAAGCAACACGATCTGGAAACTGTCGCCGTTTGATCTTGAGAGCCATCGTCGGGCCTTGCTTAACATTGAGGTTACGGATGAATATGACGAATATACCACGCTTTAAAGTCAATGTATGGGAAGGAAAACAAGCTGAGTGTTGATGAACTCAATTGGAAAATTATTTTCCACTTCGCTATCCAAGACCACACTCTCAACCCTATAGTAGGTCTTCTCGTATGATCCAGTTCGCATATTTATTTAAAGTTTTCATTGAACAGTGAATTAATGATTAGCCAAACGCGCAAGCACTCGCATACTCAACTTGTAAGCATGCTATTTTTACGCGTGCTGCAAACAATGTTATGACTTTCCACAAATGAGTAAACCACGCTGCTTTGTAGTTCCTTGTTTCATTCCAGGGAGTAAAGGAAGAGTTCCAAACTTTTTCATGGGTAAAACAGCCGTCGTTTCGCTATTGGAGGGACCGGGGTTTAGAGCACTGCAGGTACTGTGGCCCTGCCCGATCGCCCCGACCCGACTCGACTGTCAATTCCGAATTTTTCAAGGTCCTTTTTCTGGTTGGGCCGTATTAAAACATTTATTTTTTTATGTTGTCTTTCCTCTGGTCGGAGACCATGGAAACTGCGTGTCATGACTTGAATCTTATTTATGCATATAACTTGAGAGAAAGAAAATACCAAGTTGTCTAACCATGAATATAAATGAAGGAAGGAAGAATGTGAGACGGGCTTGGGGCAGTCGGTACCATTCCAGAAAGGAATCTGTAAGGCTCTTTCCCTTCCAAGAATAGTTCTCCTGGCAGTCGACTATCGATAACCTCTTGTTTTTGCATAGCCACTAAGGATAATGAGGAAATTCGCAGGAAAGCAAAGGTTAAAGCGTTTAATTTTCAAACCGGTCGGATCAGGTTGGGCCGTGAAGTTGGGAAAGAATTTGGGTTTCGGGTCGGGTGCAGGCCATGACTTGAATCTTGCCTATCGGGTCGCTGCTTGACTCTCTGCTACTTGCAGTCTTTCTGCTCGCTCTTGAGGTGCTTCGCGATGACGATGAACTTGAGCATCGGTTCTGTTACTTCGTCGCTCGCGACATCCAGGAAATGTATAGAGTCCTGGCATCAATTCAGATCCGATTCACAGAGAAAATTACTTTGGAGACCTACGTGGGTTATGCCTAAGCTTGACCCTCGGATCCAGGACCAGGCTTTCTTTTTCTCTACGTTCCCTCTCTTTTGGCGCACCCTGTAGCAATGCCGCTCTATAGTCCCGTCCGGTGTTCCATTCCAAGGGGGAAGAAGGGGTTCCAAATGTTTCATGGATAAAACAGCAGTCGTTTTCGCGATTGGAGGAATCTAGGGCCGAACTTTTCACGATCCTTCTTCGGGTCGGGTGCGGTCTAGCCGAATCATTGGTTTAAATTAAAGTTTCGGGTCTGTGTGGGCCATGACTTGAATTGGGCCTATCGGAACGGGTACCAGGAAATGTCAAATGTCACAGGTCACAACGCTCTGCGCGTGCTTCATTACCATCTGAGGCACGCTTATGGGATCGACAAAGATCCTACGATCCCATGGGTTCCTGCAGAAGTGGAGTCAGTGGTAGAGCGTTCAAATGTTTATGCTCACTCAACGACCAGACAACTCACTGCTACGAAGCCGGACATCACTCTATTTGATGCGGTTGCCAGGGAGATCTTTGTGATCGAATTCTCCAGCCCATCAGAGAATATCTCCCGCAAGGAGAAGGAAAGGAGATCTAAATACCAAGTTCTATTGTTCGAGCTTCGAGGTCAATATCCCGGCTACCATGTGCACCTTGTCGTCCTGATAGTGGGATGCCTTGGCAGCATGAAGAACACTCTAATTACAGAGCTGGAGAAGATACCAGTCTGCAGATTTAAAGCTTACTCTTTGGCCTGCTGGATGCAGAAGGCCGTCTTTTTGGGCTCCATGCAGCTCCTCCGCATCCACGGACTGAGTTCCTCAGCTGAGCCGCTTATCGCCACCTAGTGGGACTGTGCCAGTTCCATCCCGTGTGCCCGTTACCTTCATATATTACCACACTAAAGCCCCGCTGGGAGGACGTGGTCAGGATGAAAGAGGGTAACCGGTACATTCCACCAATCACACCATGTGTTAAATAATAATAATAATAATAACGTCCTGGACATGACGTTAAACTGTATCCAAAGTCTAATGAAAAAGACGAAAATATTCATACTGGCTCGGTCGGCGCCCAGGATAAAAAGACCGCGGCAGCTGAGGTGCTCCCAGCGCAGCTGTTGTTAAGTCCCTTACAGAATGTCCTATAGACAAACCGATAGTTATTTATTAAAGGAAACATAGACTTTCCTATAGGTTTTTGAAACACGAAAAACCTATAGGATCCGGGGAGGATATTTTGGGTTTCGAAACCCAGGCATTACGACGGAAAAGGCGACCAGGGTTAATATTAGCGCAGCATTTTGGTGTAAATCAAATACCGATTAATGGTAGGGACACTTGCATTATTAATACCAGCACTGCTCGGGTCTGTATAATTTATGGCCCCACCCCACATTTGTCGCTGGATTGCACGTCTTCTTCCTTCGATAGAAAGAAGTAGTATTCTTCTCTCAACCTAAGAAAATAAAAGATAGCGAGCACGTCTCTTTACTGAAACTCCATTTAGATATAATCTACTCATTCTCGTACGTGGTTTTCAAAAGGAATAAGGGCACATTTCTTGCCTGGACTCCATGATTCTATCTGGAAGATGGGGATGACAAATAAGGAAGTGTCGAAGTTTACTGATTGCTACAATGAGGCAAGGCGAGACATTTGGGGATCTACAAAACTCTATTGTGAGAGATGATTCCTTGGGTAAGGGGAGGCACTTTTGTGCCCTTTGAGAAATGCGAGAACCCCTTACCTCCATCTAGTGGCCTAGAGGAGAACTTCAAACGCATCCCTATAGGCCTATAGGGTTCCGTATAAGTCCTATAGGGAACCTATAGGCCTTATGGGGAACCCTATAGGTTCTATAGGGGGCTCTATAGTTTCTATTGGGAACTCTATAAGTCCCAAACTGAACTCTATGGGGCCTATAGGAACCTATAGGATTCCTATATATTCCTAAAGGAATATATAGGAATCCTATATATATTCCTAAAAGGAATATATAGGAATCCTATAAGACATTTTCGTAAGGGGTGTGCCACTGGAGCACCGGTTATGGATTGACAATCGATGCCAATTTCTTCAATGGCGTCAGAACATCAAGATGCCAGGGCCATCCACAATTGGCATGATTCTTCTCTTGGAGCGCCCTTAGATGGGAATGGCCAAAGTACTCAGTCCGGACGGATGCGGTGGACTGCAAAGCTTGGGCGTGATTTATTAGATCTTTATCACTCCTCAGAGCCCGATCGCAGGGGTTTTATTGGCAGACTCCACTCGAGTTGGAGCGCAAGACACCCAAGATTGAGCCATTTCTCGAAACAACATCTTCGAGACCAAGCCAGGTACCTCCTTCGGTCCCAGAGTAAGGAAGACAAAGCGGTTTCAAGGACACCAGATGCCGAATCAGTTACGATCGCTACTACTGATTCAGCTCTACCTGATGAAGCCATTCCATCGATGACACCTATAGCTGAAGTAACATCCTCGGACAGTGCATTTCACGGTATCATATCGTTTATTATGAATCGCTATCAACTGAAAAAATTAACATTTTCCCTTCTTCGTATTACCATTGAAACTGCAAAATCCACTCTCTTCACCAAAAAACCCCAAAATTTAAAGCACTTGAACGAGCACATAGGAGGAAGAATCTAAACATGGGACTAAATGGCAAAAAAAAGTTACGGTGGCTATTGCCAAGTCTAAAAAAGAGCAAATTTGACGATAACGTGACAATTTGATGAAATCATTGCCACTGCTGGGGATACGGAAAACGTATCACATCTGTTACATGAGCCGAAAGGATAATGAATGGCTTTTTTGTTCATTTCCAACAGCGGTGAAAATGATCGGGCCGCTGACTAAAAGGAATTCTTACTCTTCCTTTTTGTTATTGCAGCGCTTCACTTCATCTCAAATGTCTCCAAATGATCAGCAATTATTTGTGTATACCATTTCGAGGTGGTTGATATGGCATTCTTACCCAAATCAGTCCGATTCCCAAGAGAAATGAGCCCGAAAAATCTTAAATAATGCCCATCAATGATCAAAAACTGCGAGAAAAAAAATCTCACAGGAAGCGGATCAATACGGTTTGAACATTCCAAGGGTAAAAGTTGTCAGAGCAGTGACAATGGCTATGTGACAAAATTGTTGGCTGCATTGGCGAACTTACATGGATGGCAATGCATTGCCAATGTGATCATAAGCTGAATAGGCTATTAAACCAAACGAAAACTCGAGACTCCCATCAGCTAGCCAAATAATACTAGGCCATTTTACAGTCATAATAGAGAACGACATGTACAAGAAGCCGAAACCGCACCACCACCACAACCCACGGAGGGCAATTTTCCAGGTCGAATCTTGAAATAGGACTCCTTCGCTGAGTCTCGTGAAAAGTCGAGCAAAATCTGACATTTGGGGGAGATTTTCATGCCTTGCTTCATTAAGAATCCAGAGCCCAGCTAAAAATAACACTAAAGCGCCACCTGTTGAGAAAAATAAATTTTGCCAACATTTCAGCATCGAGGCAAAAACATGAATCCCTGTTGCGGGCCAGCTATTTGAATACCTAATTAGAAGTATGAACCACAGAGAAAACCAGTCTCTGCGCTTAAGAGGAAGCCCGGCATTGACAAAAAGAAGAAAACCATAAACCAAAAACATATGAAGGAAAAGGTGCTTGGTCAGGCCGAACACGATCCAAAATATCGCGCCAATATTAATCCCAAGGTCACAGGTCGATGGGAAAGCCATCTCAGATCCATTTGTGATCCCATTGAAGAGCACAAGAAGCCACAGAACGCCATGCCAGACGAGTAATTTCCAATAGTCGTTCTGCTTTGACTCCAATTCGTTGGACATCTGGTAAAAGAATAATATGAGAAAGTTATGGATATATCGTTATGAGTTCGTTGAAGCCGGAGTGAGGTAAAGCAAAGCGCAAGGAACGATCTATCAACATTTTTCGCATGCAAGAATGTGAAAATTCGTGCAAAGAAAAAAATATTTGCATAGTACTTTTTTATTGTCTATCTCATTCTACCTATCTTTTAGGGCAAGAGGATGAGTTTTGAGCTATGAAATTTCACATGTGCTTCTCTTAGCATATGATTTATCTATTTGTAACAAAACTTTCTTCGGTGTGCAAATTTCCTCGTTTTTATTCCAGAAAAAATAATTGCAATAGGAACAGAAAATATCCTATACCGCTAATGGACGTCAAGGAAATGATAACATTGCACCCACTTGTAACAACTTCAGGTGCCCATGGGCTCAATTAAATAGACACGGCGTCCAAAGTCGAAAACTGGGAAACTTGAACTTCAAGCCACACATACGAAATTTACTAAGCAAGTTTCTCGCATTTGGGTGTGGGGTCGCGCTGTGATGGCATGTTCGGAATGCCCCTTTCGACGGTCCCTGACATCGCTTTTCGATTCACACAGCTTTAGAAGTCTGGTTTTTGTCTTGCTATATGGTTCACCCCATGTCTGAAAGTGCCGTCGATGCTGCCTTTCCACACTTACTGGCGATTCGTTCAGCTTTTCATTTAAGTACCATTTCACGAGGAACAATTTCTACTCCTCTGTGAAGGACGCCATATCACTTCATCTTTAATATTTTTCCATGATTCATCCATTTTTTGAGCCCACACGAACCTCCCATGCCTTCTTCATATTCCGTACAAATTTGGTCACTGAAATTTTATTGGAAAAAAGTTATGGGAATTTGAAACTAGGAACTGTTTCTAAAATCACCCCGTGGATGATTTCTCAGAATTTTACCGATCCCATCCTCACCTCTCAAATTACCTACGTCCTTAACAATTTCCTCTCCAGTTCACCGCAGTGCATAAAACGGGTGCACCACTTATAAATCTTTAATCGCTTCGTTTTCTACCTGTCGTACCTTTTCATCCGAATATCACTTTTAAAGTTAACCTAGGAGGAGTTTCAAAGTTATGAGTTTTTCTTGTGAAATTTAACATTATAGCTATGGAACTAAAAAAAAACATTTTCAACGAATTAATCCCTTTTCTCAATAAAATTTGACAAAGTCCTGCAAAAGCATCACGGAAAATAAGGAGTAAATGAAAATAAATAAGTGTTTTGTGCGCCCATTTTCTACGAGATTTTTCATTCAGGCAAAATAGAATAGGAAGCAATAAAGCACCTGAACTTTGGTTTTATCGAGCTCTTTCTCAATGTTTTCTTTGATTCTTTCCACATTCTTCCTAGCAGATCTCTCTTTCTCAAGTTCATTTCGAAGTTCTTTGCTTTTGGCTTCTTGCTTTCTCTTCAGCCCTTTCTCTTCGGCCAATGTCTTCGACATGTCCTCTAGCCGCTTTTCCAGCGACGTTATCTTCTCCGTGAGCTAAAACAAAATAAGACACAGTTATTAATTCCAAGTTAGCATCTCGTTTTCAAGCGATCTGTGACCGATAGATGTAGCGTGTCTGTGGTGATTTCACAGCCGAACGTTATTCCTCGATAGGTTCTGGGTATCTGGAATACACGATGAGTTTCAGGATTCATCATCCTAGAAACGGTACGACTTTCCTCTTTTTAAGTTTGCAAGAAGTAATCGTGTTTTGATGTTCTAACAAAGAGAAGAAGGAAAACAAAGGTTCTTCTTCGTCGGCATTAAAATAGTGAAAGGAAGAAGGACTCACCTTCTCTTCCCTTTTCTTGTAGTCACTTCGCAGATTCTGCAATGACCAGATGGGAAGAAAAGAGATACATGACAAATGCATGTGAATGTTTAAGCGAACAATCCTTAAGCACGAAGAAGCATCATCAGTTCCTAAGGATAGGAATTGAGTGAAAATTGAGTGAAAATCAAGGGAAAAAGTCACAACTGAATGCAAAGTGAATTGGGAGAGGTCGTCGAATACAGCATGCGGTTTTTAATCTCACAAAAACGCACAAGGTTCGATAAGTACCGATTGCCATGAGATGCATTCCATCCCGTGCATTAATGAGAGGTCATCCTAGGAGATTACTTTTGATTAACTAGTGCTTTGTTTCCGGGTTGATCCGGAAGGAATATGCCACCATGCCTAACTTTTGCATTTCTAAAACGAAAATCCTAGAAACAGATCACCATCTGAATGACATTCGATTAACCTACCACAATACTGCCCATAACGAATTCGTCATTGCGGTGTGATGTCATTCGAAGGTCATATACAGGGTGTCTCGTAAAGGATACTCTAACTTATAAATTGCGTATAGTGATATATTTAAAGTAAAATTATATACGTTCCGCATCATTTGAAAGGTTCCTGGAGCCCTCATCTACTGAGAATGAAAGAACAGTGAACCGTGCTGGGCTGTTCATACTGATTTAAACGTCCATGTCTTATGCCACACTTATCCTTCATACCAGAGCCACGTTAGAGGCAACATTTTTCCAGCAGATCGTGGATTGATCGTCGCGGTCCAGTTGAATGACCTCCACCCTCGTCCCACCTCGCAGCCTGTGATTACTGGATGTGGGATAACGTCAAAGCGAAAGCGTACTCCACCATTCCAAGAGATATGCGAAATCTCTGACAGGCAATAAAAAGCAGTCTTCATGCGACCCCCCTGATATGATGTAGCATACAATTGAAGATTTTCCCAAATTATCTCCCGTATGTCACGTCCACACGGTGGACGAGAATTAGAAGCTATTACTAAGTTGAAGCAACCTTTACAAGATTTCCTGCAGTTAAGCGTGAAGACATCAAGTAATAATGAAATTAGCGGAATAAGTGAACGAACTACTTCTGGCTGCTCTGGAGCTGATTCTCCGTCCCCAGTATTCCGGCTCTGCAAAGGAATCATCATGAATGGTCTTAAATATTGTTGAACTCGCAATAATTCTTAAAGAGGAACCAGTAAAAATGGAAACATGAATATGAATTTATGTCTTACCATCTGCGAGAGGAATTGCATGAGCACTTCTTGGCTGAAAGGCTGCTGAGACATTTCGTTCTATCGAGGCGGAGAGACAACGAGAGAAAGAAACTTCGGTTTCTTTAAAAGAGCTGAGGGATATGAAAATTTCCTGGCAAGGAAAAGGAAACCTGTACCTGAATGCCAGCAGGAAATGGAAGATCTTGGTATCCGGGAGGCATTTGCTGGTTTCTGAATAGAGCAACCAAGAGCACATAGAAAAAATTCCTAATAGAACTCAAACTCAAAGGGTCATTTTCGTAATTCACTCACGCAGGTACACTGTATTGGTTCCCATATTGAATTGGACCTGGAAACATTTGATGAGCCATTGGCTGTCCATGATTTGAATCGGGAGAAAACCGCATCGGGGCAGAAACATTTTGCTGGTATTGGCTAATCTGGACATTGCTTGGACCTTGCGTGAAAGGCGAATGGCTGTACGGGTGACTGGGAATTTCGCGTGAAAAGTCAAACTGATGAAAAATCCTTTCTTGGTGGGTGGATGGAGTTGATGGTTCCGATAGAGTTTGGCCGTGGATGTTGGTCTGCAAGACTTGAGATCGTTGATGCTGCTGCAGCATTAATTGCTGATGCAAAACGTCCGGGGGGAATTGGGGATATGATTGTTGTGTTGGTCCAGCATTTACGAATGGCAATGCTTGTCGAGGATACTGTTCACTTGTGGGAGGCATACCTTCCACATTATGCATGCCTTCCAGACCAGGTTTGGGTCGTTCCATGGCTGAAGATGGCACAAGGAATTCTTCGCTCCTAGTTCACCACATCATAACTACGAAAAACATATCCGGAAAGTACTGGTAATAATATCATCAGTTTCATTTTGGCATTAGGCAGTGCATTCTCAATGAACTACAAGGGTAATAAGAACCCACTGCTTTGGAAGTCTGTTTTAACTTTTCACCAGCGATTTTTCCCGAAATGTATGTGACTTAACCTCAGAGGGGGAGAGAGAGAGAGAAGGCAAGAATTAGCTATACCTCAATCCTATGAAGAGATGATAGAGCTGGCTGTGCTGGTGAAGAATCATGATTCCCACGACAAAAGAGAAGCCAAGCAAAGCCAGCCTTATCCACACCGTCCCATTATCTTTATTTACCTGGACCTTGGTAGCGATAACTCCTGCACTCAAAAGCACTCCTCAGTCTGTGAACTATGTCTTGGTCTTCGGGTTTCCATAGGGAAAGATATCCTTGCACCTATGCGGGGCATCAAACCTTATTTGTACTTCCGATTTACCTCTGCTTCACCTCTGATTTCCCTGTAATTCACCATCGCCCATCGCATTAACCTCTTTTTCTCCCTGTTTCGCTGCATTTTCTTAGTTTTTTCCCCATTGTTTTCACATTGTTTTTTTTTTTACATTTTCTTTCGCTCCTGCATTACCATTCCCTCATATTTCACATATTTATTAATTTCACGCAACAAATTTATTTCTTGCTTTTTTGCTGCATTTATGAAACTGTGTTTATCCCATATAATACGGTAGAGAGTTTTTTTTTTAAAACCATCCTATATATTAATGGAGGCGGGGATCTTATTCCGGGGAGGAAGTCATCCTTACTCCAGCGGGATGAAAGGGGACTTCAAGGATCACATGCGGGGACACTTTACGCGCCCCCATGGGAAAGTCCTTATCGTTAGGTGTGAATACCACGTGGGTAAGGGTGCGCAAGACGTACAATTTCCGAAAGACTGCTGCGAAGAGCGTTGAAGAGCGGACCGCTGACTGAACTCGTGAACTCTTGAAAATGTTACATACACACTTAGCCCGGGCCATGGTGGTCTACCTTGATTACGCTGGGGGCCTGATGAAACCCTTCAGTGGTGGTTGGGTCCATATTAGGGCGATTTAATTGTTATTCACATATCTTAGAAAACGAAAAAAGTCGATGAAATTACTCCAGGCGGATTGTCGCTCAATGTAGGCATCCACATTTTCACTTTCCTTTATAGACGGGTTCTCATCGCATGCTATCCAGTGGTTTATTCTCATCATCTCCCCAAATCGAACCTCATAGACCCTAAATGGAATCGCATTATTCACATGAGAAAAAAGCAACCATTCGTTCCAAAGTAATTTCACATAGTACAAAAATCCGGACGTAGAGGAGCAATACCCTTGTGGAGAATCATCAAGGAATACATAAGGCTCGTGGCACAGCACCAATTAAATGGGATCACAATAACGAGGATGGGATTGCCAAGCTTCACAAAGGATGCTTCACAAAGCATGGACGGGCTAATGAAACCTAGGGGATCCCTCCATATAACAATTTGCTTTCGTGAGCTGAGAGTAAATGGTCAGCGGAAGATATAGAAATAAATGTCCCAGCAGAACTTTTTTCTCCTTGCTGAAATTAGTCTTTAGCAATCAAAGGATAACTTACAGCATTCTGTATCTGAATTCCATCGGTTCACTCAATCCTTTGTTCTTTGGGAAATGGACAATCGATGAAAAAAAATCGTGCAAAGATTGTGTACTCTTGGATAAACGACTGCTTAAGCCTCTATTAACGTGGCGTAGACTCTAACCGGAACGCTTAGGAAAGTGTGATTTCATGATAATTGGTCCACGCTCTTGATACCACCTTTTTATAATAGGAACCACCACATCTGTCTACCAATCCATATCTGCCGTTCCCGATCCCCGTGCGGTTTGTGATGATCTATATAACCACAAGCCCATCGATACCATTGATTTCAATGCACTTTTCCAAATCTCATCCAGAACAGGACTCAGAATTTCCATTCACGAACACGACAATATCTCACTGGATTTCGGCCGCAGTGAGACTATTTTCTGCATAGACAGGGTTAAATTGTGTTCCTACAGAGTCGGACTGAATGGGTTTAAGAGTAACTCAAAATACTTCTAACACTTTCCAAGTAATTCCGCTTTAGGGGTCTGTAAATTTCCGTCTTTGATGACCGACAGGATACGTCCCAGACCATTTGGTTTCTCGGAACACTTCGTTTGAAGTGAGGTACATAGATTCCAATTTCGTTGCGCAATTTTTTCGGCGACCCTTGTTTCACATTGAGCAAAAAGATTAAAACATTTAAGAAATGATAGTTATATCTTGAAATTTAAGCTTTCCACTAAGGATTCACTTTATGCACTTCTGTTCATTCGTGACATTTCCAACAGGCGTTGCCCTTGATTGTTCAAGGAAATCAGGTCACATTTCTTGCTATGATTTTCTCGTGGCCGATACCCAAGGAATGTCCACGCAAGTAGGGTATGCCCCATTAAGTATGACGTATCCACGAGGCACACATCCAATCCATTGTGCCAAACTCCAGGCAAACCCCATGTATTCTCCATATATGCCCCATGGCCACAATATTTCCTCAATAGCCTCCAAGGAAGAATGTTCTTCTGACATCACAATAATCCAGTGATCACTTTTGTCTAGTTTCCCATCCACGAAGAAGTTCTCCGTCCAGTCGGAGTCCAAATCGACATCCAGGAATACCACATCACTCATTTTCGCTTTGATTTTCTTCTCCATCTTCTCAACTTCTACCATTCTCACACTCGTGTGTGAATAGGCATGGATGAAAACCGCACGAGATGAATCCTTGTTCTCGTTCAATAGGGCGAGAAGCTCGTCTTTACTCGTAACATGACGTCTCGGAACCTGGCGAGAGAACAGATTTTGTGAGACAGGAAATACCTTCTCCCATAAATCCACTCTTCAAACGTGCATTATTTGTAGGCCTATGTCTCGTTGAGGTATTCATATATCATGTACACTTCATGATCACGATGTGTGCCAATGTAGATATTCTTGAAGAGTCAGTGACTACTTTTTGAACGAAAATCACTTAGAAACATTTCCTTGATTACTTGCAGCGTTCATGTATTTTGGAATATTGGCCTTTCCCCAACCAAATCAATTCGGCATAGCTTTCTACATTCAACACAGAGGTTAATTCTGCCGTGTTGCACCACCAACACAAGAAACCAAATGTAAACACCACACGTAGCTGGACTCGAAAATTGGAGGAAGCGATGCCATAATACTTCCAGACGCACGAGCTATTCGCAAGTGCCAGAGGGAAGGAGATAGGGAGAATAGCATAAGCACTCCCACGCGCTTGCGCGAGTCCCTCATAGTCAATGCTTTGCCCAGAGGGTATATGGATGGGACCTTCTTCTAAACGATGAAGTGGAAGACGGAGGTTGACATGCGTTTAGAGACGATGCGAGGCCACTCAAACCACCTCTCTCGATTCTGCTATAGACGTATTTCGACGAAGTTGCCTCTTTCTAAGCCCTACAGCGATGACCCCATCTCTTTGATATTTGTAATTTTTCAGAGAATAATGCCGGGCTTTCCTTTTCGCCCCATAGCATCTTCGTTCATTACTGGCTCTGGTTACATCATGATATTAATGTTATAAACTGAACACGGAAGGAAGCGCAATCAAGTGATCACTCTGCTCACATCCAGTTGGGTTTTACGGCTCTTGACATCATGAAATACCAAGGAAATTACATCATTGTCTCCTAAAATTACTCCACTGTCTGGGTCCCTTGCGAAGGGATTGACTATGTCGACATGGAGAGATTTTTAACCTTTTGGTGTCCACTCTCGAGATATCTCGTGTTTGCTCTTTGCTCTGACCCATGTCCGAAAAATCAACATTCGCTTTTTCTCGTTACGATCCCTTCCTGTTATGATCCGTTGCCAGGCGCTGCCGTTTCATTTCAAATCCAAGTTTTTTGGCATATTGTGGTAACTTTTTATCAGCTATTCAGGTGCCGTCTAGTAAATATTTCTAGCCGCAAGCTATCAAATGAGGAATTTGTTGAAGATTTTCCACATTCCAACTTGGATTTCGGTTTGAGTTAATGATTCAGTTGAAGACTTTTGTTTCCGAGAATTTCTTAAAGATATAGAATCATCCTTTGATGCAAATGTTGACAATTTGCAATGAATACCATTCACAGTTGTCTGCAGCTGAACGGTTTGCATTTTTGCTTTGCAGGCACCTAAACTCATGCGGTTGCAAAACTTCGTTTTGCAGCCGCATGCTCCAGCCCATGCTCCATGCAGCTCCACTCATGCGGCTGCAAAATGAAGTTTTGCAGCCGCATGAGTGGAGCAATGGAAACATTGGATTAAACTGATGAAAAATTTGGCTAGGGTTTAGAATGTTCTTTTCCATCAGTGAAGAGGATGGCATATTGGAATGACATGTACGACCTTAACTACCTTTTGGTTGGTAACTGCCTCCATCTTGCGTTTGTTGAACTCCATGTCTTGACGATTCAACCGTTCTCTTAGCTGCTCCTCGAGGTCTTTTATTCTTGATTCATCCCTTTCCTTCACATTCGAGAAATTCTTAGCCTTTTCTGCTGCCATTGCATTTGAAAGGTCTTCCAGCTTCTTTTGCATTTCTTCTATCTGCAAGTACACATCAATTTCTTGCATCTCCCTAATAAAAATATGTTCGGGGTGAAATGAATATGACAATGAGCAGTCACAAGACCTGCAGGTTCCATTCCTTGAATTCTACCTTTTCACGCAATTGAACCTATTGTTTGATTTTATCCGTCTCTTAATGCGCTCCCTTCTCATTCCTGAGCCTCTCTTCCAGTTCTTTACTTCTTCTTTCATGCTTTTCTTGAAGTCCCTTCACTTTAGCCAGTGTACGTGATGTGCTCTCCAGACGTTCTTCTAGCGCCTTCACCTTATTCACCAATCGGGTGGAGAAAAAATGACGCCGGGAACTACACAATTGCTCATTGACGTTAACCCTGCGCCATATAAGGTCTATCGTTTTCGCGCAGATGTATGTTAGAAGCCGAAAGAGTTTGGGCGAGTGTTGACTCCTGACCCATATCACTAGTAACTTACGAATGGAATAATGAAAGGAGACAAGGTGGACACTGCTCTCCTCTACCTCTTTGAATTTGCAATACTACAGCAGCATTCGAGTCATCCCTGGGTTTAGCTCCCTTCAGGCTCATTATATTGAGATATATTATTGTACTAATATTATAAGCCACAAAGTATGGATCAGTGACCACCAGACATACAGCATTGTCTGTAAAGTCAAGATATTATTATCTC